AATGGCTGTTATCATTAGGAATGGTCAGGTGGTTTTACTGCAAAAAGAAACAAAAGAGTAAAAAGAAGAATAAGATGAACAAAAATGATACAAAGATTTGTGGTAAAAACACTATGAGTAAAATTAGTGACGGAATTTTTTTTTTTTGAAGAAAGCCAAGAACTGATTGTTAAAGTTGATATTTGTCCTTACTTTGTCTTAAAGTTCTATAACTTGGCATTGTTCATAACAATCTTTCTAGCTTGAAAAGAAAAAGGCTGAATTCATGATCGCCATATGAAATAAAATAAAAATTGCGATACCTATTGTGCTTTGGTATACTGCACCGTAAACTTGCAATCTTTGTTGGGTTTTTTGCTCTTTAAAAATTCCTCTTTTCAGACAACATTTCAAGAAACAATTTTTGAGCAGAAACTAATAATGTCAAGGGAAATTCTGTGTTATTTCAGTCTCAGATTGTACACGATTTATTGAGACAGGTTACCCTTAATCGTTAGGAGACCATTTCCAGTCCATTAAACAGCAGTGCTATTGAAGATTTTCATTTTACATAGTTTAACAGCAAAAACGGGGTCATTGGTTGGTTTCTTCTATGAGCTGTAAAACAACCCAACAATAACACTTTTAAAGGAATTATGCACCTTCACAATGGTTTCTTTGAAAGAATTACAGGGTTGAGCATAATTATTATTTGGTTGACAAATAAAGAGAGCAGAAAAGCCGGCTTTCTACGCTGCTGGAAAGCAGTAACAGATAACTGCTATGTCTAGACTGAAGGAGAAGAAAAATAATTTATGTTTAAAATAATAATCTGGTAAAAGTTCAATGAAAACCTGTTTTTTTTTATACGACTAATTCAAGAAGGAATTATTTTGTGGCTAAAATTTAAAAGCTAAAATTTTATAGTAAATGATTATGAGGAACTCGTTTTTGCGATAAACACCCATTCTTATCGATTCTTATTAATTGGTAACACCAACGGTCACCTCAAGCCGCAATATTTATGTTTATTTGAAGCAAAAATCAATAGTACTTTTTCTTTTATTCAGTAATTCCTCTTTTTCTGGAAAAAATGGAAGTTTTTTGAAGAAATTTGTAGTATTCCATTGTGCTCTCCTGTACTGTTAACAATACAGTAATAAAGTTTTAACGACGCTATCATATTAAGACAAAGTATGATGTTGTTCTACGGTCATAAAACATCAGAAGAACAGTAATTCTGTCAACGTCTTTAACTGCTAATTTATCGCCAAATACAACTGCATCAAGATTTTCAGGAAACTCGTAAACGTCGCGAGAAACACACAAGATGTCCTCTGTAACTTCCTGTTACAAATTAAAACTGAAAATGATTTTTTACTGATGCACACTGACAATTTCACAAGTGCGGGTGGTTCCAAAAACGGCATTTGAAATAGCAGCTTTAGCACGTTGGCTAATTCAACAGTTCAAAAAAAAAAAAAAAAAAAAGTTCAAAAAACAGGTTCATC